CTGCGGCAAGTGCAGCCGGTCTGATGGCCGAGTGCTGTGATGTGCCCAGTGTGGGTAGTCCGGGCAATCCAAGCCAGGACTGCTTTGCAAGCGGGGCACCCCTGAGAACTGTCTGTCCGGGGTGGGGGTCGGGTCCCTTTAAGCACAGCCCTCGGCTAGCCTGAGACAGCAGCTCCACGCTCTAAGTCCTCATCTGATGCCCTGCCAGCCCTGCTTCCGGCCATCCTTAACCCCGGTTCAGGGTCCACTCTGTGTGGACATGCTAGTTCGAATTAGCAAAACGCTAATTCGAACTAGTTTTTTAGTCTGGATCTGTTAGTTCGAATTAGCTTAGTTCGAATTAACTAATTCGAACTAAGTTAGTTCTAATTAGCGCTGTAGTGTAGACATACCCTTGGTTCCCTGGATATTGGGCCACATGTCCTCTGTGGAGTCGTTCAGGGTCCACTCTGTGTGGACATGCTAGTTCGAATTAGCAAAACGCTAATTCGAACTAGTTTTTTAGTCTGGATCTGTTAGTTCGAATTAGCTTAGTTCGAATTAACTAATTCGAACTAAGTTAGTTCTAATTAGCGCTGTAGTGTAGACATACCCTTGGTTCCCTGGATATTGGGCCACATGTCCTCTGTGGAGTCATTCCTCCCCACATCTACTGAAACCTAGGTTGGCCTCTTATCTGGAACTGCATCAAGAGCTCCTCCACAGTGCCAGTGAGCACGCTCTTGGGCTTCTGGCTGCATCTGGGTCTTGTGGGCACTCCTGCTGTGACTATGGCCATGCTGGTGAATGAGGCCCTCTGGCAGCATTTTCTTCTCCAAGCAGTGACTTGCAGCTTCAGTCCCACCTGCCGGGCAGAGCAGGCCGTAGGAAAGGTCCATCCCATTGGTACATTTCCTTCGTAGGGCAGCACTGGGAGACAGAGAAGCAATCTGAGATGAACGTGGATACGTTCTGACCCTCTGACACGAGTGCTTCAGCCTCCAATATATCAAAAAGCAATTAATAGAATCTTCCCCCTCTTACATTTTATGGTTTGTGTCTCTTCCCTGAGACAGAAGGGTGGTAATTAGAATCTGTGTTAACAGATAAATTTTAATGAGGTTTTGATGGCTGGAATATATACTCTTACTGTATCCCTATGTGCAATGAAGGCCTTTGCATTTTGCCACTTTATATGGCACTGACATAAATTTTTACAGATGTTCTCACCTGATATGAGTCAGATAATTTGTGTTTCATTATGCGGGGAGATGGAGAGGAAATGCCAGGAGAGAGAAGGTGAGATGTAGTGGGGAGAGCCTGGGAAATAGAAAATCTGGGTTCTGTGCCTGGTTCCACCGCTGAATTGTTCTGGGAGAAGGCACTGAATTGCTCTGTGTAGAGATGGGGATAACACTAGTTCCCCAGTTCTGTAAAGTGCTTTGGGGTCTGAATGGAAAATACCAAATAAATGCACACTGTTATTTCTACCTAATCATCATCGTGATTCATTATCCAGTAGCCAGCCTTTCCCAGCAACAAGCTGTGCATGCAAGCTATACGGGGATAAAGGACTATAAATGGGATAGCTAGTCCCATTGATTCCTTTGGTACCTGACTTTCTTCCAAAAGTATTTCCAGCACGTACTTGCATGTTTGTAATAAGTGTGATCACGTATGTCAGTTACAACACTGGGTCTTGACAAAGTAAGATTTGATTGGTGCGCCCGGAGTCCCAGGGTACGCTACACCACAGCCTGACTTGTGCCCCCCCACCTCCTTCCAGTGGTGCAAACAGGCAGCAGCGCACACCAATAGACTAGGGTCTGAATTATGCAAATGAATTCCATGACTGTTAATGGGGCCATGTGCTCCCCTTGTGAAATTTGCAACTGCTAAAGTCAGGAAGAGAAGAAAGGGTGCAATGAAAAATACATGCCTAACAAATGTGGCTATGCATAGTGTTTTATCTCCCCCTTCCCTTCCCCAGCCTATATCTGCAGGCTTGGAGGGGGGTTTTTTTTTTAAATGCCATTTTAAATCCTGCATCTGATTGCGGTTTCACACACGCAGGGTAGTGTTCTTCAAAACCAGCTTGATCTGAATCCATAATTCTTTAATGAAACATTTCCCTGCACTTGAAGTGAACTGTGCATGATTTACTGCGGGATACCCAAAAGGTCAGTTTACTTAATATCGGCACCTTCATTTTTCCAAATTCTGCTGAAATTAAAAAGCCATATATATCTTAAAAGGCATATTTATGAACACTTAAGCGTAAGTAAGTCATTGTTGGACTTCTTCCCTCTCTGCTGAAATATGGAATCTGGCAGCGAATCGGGTTTAGAATGAAATCTGGCAATACAATATGCTGCACTTTACTATTTTGACACTACCACAGTGATGTTTTTTTGCAGTTACTGTGGAGCTTATGTCACTGTTCCTTTTGGGAGCAAAGGGAGGGAGGAGAGGAGAATATTGATTATCAGAGTTTCTTGATTATCTTGCTTTTATTTTAGTTTATTTTATTTTGCATTGGATACATAGTCTCTTCAATTATTCATGCAACCTCCTTGTCGATATTGCACATGTTGGCTTTGTAAGGGAGGAAAATAAAATGCTTGAGAGAATTATGTGTATAGTTTTTTTTTAAAAAAAAGCATCAAAAACATCTTTTTTCTGTTTTTTGTTTTTGTTTTGTTTTGTTCCAGAAGGAGCTTAATTCTGTTGCTTCAGAACTGGCTGCACGGCAGGAAGAGAGTGAACATTCTCATAAACATTTAATTGAACTCAGCCGGGAATTTAAGAAAAATGTACCTGAGGTACAGTATATTTGCTGTTATAGAATTAACTCAGTAGGACAGCATATTTTCCTCTGTTCAAACTAGATTTTGAAAATCGTAGACATAAGTGACTAACAAGAAGGGAAGCTAATTAGCCACAAAGACAAATTATAGTCTCTAACCTTTGGGTTTTCTTTATTGCTTATTTTTGCTGTGCTCATGGCGCCATTGTATTTAAAGGTACTGATCCTGGGAGATGCTGCACAGTTTCTGCAAGGTGCTACTCTCACCTCAGTGATATGGAGGGAACTCAGCATATTGCAGCACCTTTCAGAATCGGACCAGACAGCATTTCCATAAACAGAACTTTGGGTTTATAAAAAGCAAGTGTTAAGCTGAGATCCTGGCATCCAGCTCTCAGCCCAGATGGGATTGGCACATTTTTATTTTATTTTTTTCTAAAATACACTTTATTTTAGTCAGTTTGACTGTTTGTTAGGATTTTTTTGCCTCCGGTTTCAGATGCTATTTTCTTGCCTGCCTTTAAAAAACAAAATTATAAGGGGAGACTTTCAAAGGCTCCTCTACCCCAGGCAGGCAGGTACCTAGCACCCACTGAAAGTCACTGTGAAGGGATAGTGCCCTTTTGAAAATCCACCCCTTTGTTCATGAGACTCAGAGGGCCTGAAGCTAGCATAGCACCTTACTCCACGAGTAGCCTCACTGTTTCCAGTAGCAGGAGGTATGATGCTCTCCTTCGTGGGAACAAGGCAGGCAGGATGGGGCTCATAGAGATTTAGAGAGACAGGCAAGGACCTTTATGGTCTTGCCTGAAACATTCTCATTTTCCTTCTATCAGTTTTCTGATGTTCTGCCCCATAAAATTTAAGGCTGGGCTGAAGGGAATTGGGTCCTCCAGCCCCAATGAATTGCTGTGGCCTTTGGATACCTAACTAATTTCCTCTGACAAGTTTGACAATCCCAGTCTAGCTGCCCAAGGAATGGACTGTCTTCCTGCTAATGCCACTTTCCCATGGTAAATTTTCCTGATATCAAGCCTGAGATCTCCCTCTATGAATCTCATCTTCTTGTCTAGAAACCCTGCTTTCCCCTTGGTCTTTCTGCTGATGATATGTCTGTGATTTGTCTTAAATGGATTTTGCACGCATTTCAGTGATAACCAGCACTTTCTCTCACTACAGCATAGCTTTTAAAGATCTTAAAGCATGTACAGAAATTTGACACAGGAATGCAGCCACTGAAATGCAACCACATCTGGGGTGGTGGCTAACAGCTCTCACTAACAGTAGAGAGCAGGTTAGAACTGGAATTGAAAAGTACTTCATGCAACTGAACATGAAAAAGGAAATGAAGGTGATCAGGATGTAATGGTTATACTTTGGCCCATCACCGAGGTGAAAAAGTGCAAGGGGCTTGTTATCCAACACAAAGGGACAGAACCTCTGTGGTCTATCTAGCAAGTAAGTTGGCAGCTCCAGCAGCCATTTCAGTACTGATTCCAATTTAAAGGGTCCACATGGCAAAAATAAAAGGTGGCCAGCGTAGATGGGAGCAGCAGCTTTAATGTTTCCTTCCTGTTAATTCCAATGAGAGATTGGTGTTCTCTGCTCCTGTCAGTTTGCCTTTTCAGCAAAGGCCCTGGCGGTCTGTAATGTGAGCCATGTGCTCTGGGAGTCTATTTGTTTAAAATCAGTAGGTGAATTGGGTACAATGAAAGAGAGTGTCCTTGGGCCTGATCCAAATCCCGGTAAAGTCAAGTGAAAGCTTCCTGTTGAATTCAGTGAAAGCTAGATCTGGGTCAAACGACTCTACCCACAAGACATGTCTGATGCAAGAATGCATTCTGCAAACTTCCACTGCTTAGAAATGTCGAACTAACTCAATTCTGAGTGTGCATGCACTAGCTGATAGCTGGTATGGATAGAGTTAATCATATCTCCCTGAGCAAAATGCCTATCATAGATGTATACCCTTATTCCCAGAGCAATCCAGATTTTGCCTTCACATCCATGTGAATGGGAGTAACTCCAGTAAGGCCAGTGGAGCAATTCTGGATTTACATGGGTGTGGGAGCAGAATGGGCCAATATCCAGGGTCCCCACTGGGTTCTGTAGCAGTGGATTTTCTCCCAGAAGAGACCACTGGAGTGAATGTTCAAGATCTTCTCTGAGCTTAGATAGAAATGGGCATCTCGAAGAGAAGTCTGCCTTTATGGATTGAATCCTGGCTCCAAGATGAATCAGCCTTATAGGCCCCACACTTCCCAGCTCCTCCCTTGCTTGGTCTTGGCTCAATGCCCCTGTTATCCAGTGTAGGCCTCCTTTCCACAGGGTCTTTGTCTCCTGCAGGGCTTCATTGTGAGGCCTCAATGGAAGTCACCAAGTGCATTTCCATTTGGGGCACATGACAGGGTTTGAACCCTGGCCCCCAGAGATGACGGATGGGTGCCCATTTCCACCAATCCCCTGAACTGTCTCCCCCTGTTGGCTGCACTTGAGAACTAGCCAACACTGCTTCCACTGTGAGGGAATGGATAAAGTGAGTGTACAGCTGATGGAAGGTGCTGGAGCATAAGGGTGTCTCTTTATCAGGCTCAGGAGACACTTCACTGGGCCCTGTGGGGAGCCAGCTCCAGGTCCCCTGGAAGGGGTGGGCCTGGGAGTTAGCCTCTTCCAGTCAGCTCTTCAGTGCTGCCAGAGCTGCAGGGTGCATGCCACTAGGGGCTCTTGTGGTGATTTAAAGGGCCCAGGGCTCTAGCTGCTGCTGTGGCCGAGGTAGCTGTGGTGGTGGCCAGGAGCCCTGAGGCCTTTTAAATTTCCAGACTAGAGCTGCCCCCTCCAGCCCCTTTGCCCACTCCCCATCAGCAGCCTTGCGGGCTTGCCAGACTTCTCATTCCCCAGGGTTCCAGGCAAAATTGTTCAGCCCATCATGAAGCCTGTAAGGGCATGTCTTCGCTGCTCTGGTACCCAAGCGAGCCAGAGTCATGTTACCTCAGGTTGTCCACACAAGCTGCACGCTCAGCCTGGGATTAGAGTGGAGACATCTCTCAATCCCCGTGTCCCGTTTGGTCCTTGGCTCACCATGTGAGCCTTTCAGTAAAGTACCTGCTGGTATGATTTGTGACTGGAATTTCAGAAGCATTGCTCCCACTAATTGTCTTGCTCAGCTCCTCTGAAATTCAGGTCCATAGGAACTGGCTCGGCCATTGGGTAAGGTGACTGCACTAGCTTTGTGAGAAGAGGAGGTGCATGCTTACCATATGCTGGGCTCCCATGAGTTGTATTCCCCATGACACAGACAAGGTCAAGCCACATACCTTGGGTTATGACAAGGTTAGCAAGGATGTGACTGGGTAGCTTTGTGCGGGCAGTATCCTCTGCAGCACTGTTATCTGGCCATCACTGTAGCCTCAGGGAAGAAGTCTCCTCTGTTGATATCTCCCCCTTCCATAGCTTGGCCATGCTTGGGTGGAAGCAAGAATCTAGAGTCTTTGAGGCAGTGATGTCTCCTTGTAAACACAAGTATGCAGAAGAGCAGTTAGTGTAGAGAGCACATTCAACGCCTGAAGAATACTGACTAGTTCAGTGTCTTCCTGAATTAGGGACACTCCCCTCAGATACTGCATGACACCAATGTTGCCTTCGACGCTGGGATCACAGTTGCAGCTCCTGCTGAACGTGGCCCTAAGAATGTTGTAGCTGCGCTGGGGCACTGTGCTTTGACAGGCTCATTGGCAACAGATGCTGCAAAGGACGAATGTGTCTTGGTAGGCAGAGGACAGGAGGGGAGGGTTTGCTTAACCCCAGTGAAGAAAAAGTTGGGGAGGGAATAAGATTAGTGTCATTCTGCTGGCCTCTTGCAAAGACTCATTTAGTGTAGACATGCTGTGGATTGAAACCCTTTTCACCCTTTGTCAGCTTTTAGACTGTGGTAGGCTAAGAGTATTTATTGAGAAGATTAAGTCCAGTCAGGGCACCAGCTCTAAAGTTTCAGAAAAGAGACAGACAATGGCTCATGTCCATAGTTCAGAGTGTGTAGATCTGTAGCTATGTACAAATACCACTGCAGAATCATACGCTATCTGATTCTGGTGAACTCTCTGGTCTCTCTTTCAGGAAATCAGAGAGATGGTGGCTCCTGTCTTAAAGAGCTTCCAAGCAGAGGTAAGAAGCCATCACTCGCAAAAGGTACTCTGTCATGATGGTGTTTGCAGCTGGACAGATTAGACAGAGATGGAGACCAGGGATAAAAAAAAGCAGACAGACACCAAGATCAAACTGCACAACACTTGCGCAGCCTGCTCCTCTTTTCCAGCTCTCACATGCTTCCTTTGAGCCCAGTGAAGCCAGTTTCATCCTTTCGTCCATCCCTCTCCCGGTACTGATTGCTCCTAGTTGGTACTGTATTCCCCCACCTAGTCATCTTACAAGAGGTCTTAGGCATTTTATATGTGCAAATGTACTTTCCCAGCTTAGGTACCAGTCTGACGTGGAGAGATTTAAATCCTTCCACAGGGGAGGGCAGTGTGGGAGAAATACCACACTTCAGAACGTTTTTTTAAATGATTGCTCTTCTGGGGGGCTGCTTTCTGTGTTCTTCTAATGTGCTTAGATTGAAACCCCTAGAGAGATGTAGGCACTCAGCGCTCACCACCAGCAACACATTAGAATCTGTCATCTGCTGAGCATTACATTACTTTAAATCTGTCTCTTTGGAACACCAGAACGGCATAAAAAATATTAAAGTAAACAATAACTGGATTTACACAAATGCGGCTGATTTCCATATTTCTCATCACTTCATTTTATTACTCAGTTTACTGATATGCTCATTTATTTATAGGGCAATCCAGTATTGATTCATTCCAATGCACTATGCATAAATACACAAAAGAGAGTGATAACAATAGGAATACATTTTCAGGGTTTTAAATACTGCTTTTTTCCCAATAGCTTTCATTAGCGCCGCTAGGAGGGGATGAGCTATATGCTTTGGAAGGCCCAGCCTGTCCCTATATGCTTTGGGAGGTGTGACTCTGAATTCACAGCAGTGTAACTCAGATCAGAGTCTGCCCGCCTGACTCCACATTTTCTTTAGAATCCTCTTCACTGATTCAGCTTTTCCCAGGAAGGTTTTTGCCCGGGGGGTTTGAGGAGCTGACTTTGGAAGACGGATAGGAAGAGGTCTGTCAGGCTTTAGATGTGTTGGCCCCAATCCTGCTCCCACTGAAGTAATAAAAGTATCACTGAATCCACTGGGTGCAAGATTGGGCAAGTTATTGGGAGAGGAGTTGTTTTCTGACTCTTTGCGGGGCTGTATTCTGCCCTCACTCACCCTATGCAAAGCAGGCTCAGAGTCAAAGTGGCTGTGCAGGTGACATTTGCTAACTTCCTGCTCTGTCTCCATTTGGTTGGCTCTGATCTTTGCAAGTGTCATCAGTCAAAACCCTTGCTCAGGTCAGTGGGAATGTTGACTGAGTAAAGGCTACATTGTTTGGCCCATCCTCAGTCCCTATAAGGAACAAATGGCTAAAAGCCATTGTGTTAAGTGGTGAGCAGCATCTTTCTTCAATGAAAATCAGGATAGCGCCATCGACTTCTTCAGAACGATATTGATTTATAACAACTGGCAATCTGCCCCTTTGTTTGGGTATTAGCAGGGGAAGTCCAGAAATCCAGAGAACTTTGGGCTCTTTGCATGAAATCCTCCCCTTCCAAGCTTCAAGGGCTGCCAAACCACTCACAGGTAGAATACCTGGTGATGCTGGATTTTTTTCCTGTGGCTTATATTTCATTAAACATGAATATTTACAAGGGAGAATACAGCACTACATATTAGTCATGGGGATTAGCCAATAAACCTTGTGATAATGTCAAGGTTCCCCCCTGTATTTTTTCTTTTAAATGGAAAGAAAAAGAATTTTTTGAAGTAACAACCTGTGTTTCTGAAGTCACCATCACAGATTGTGTAGATTTAAGTGCCGATATCTTCTATATGCAGATTCTTAATAGGAGGGGGAAGTTGTGGGAAGGAGAAGGGAATAAATTGTACCCACTGAGAATAAAAACAGCTTTTGTTTTCCATCCTGATTAGATAAAGGCTGGTTTATTTCCTTGGCAAAGAATAACAAAAAAGCTGCCCGTGACAGTAGCTTAATGGCAACAGCTTGAAATGGACAAAGTTTGAATCTCCTTGCACAGAGAGAAAAGAGCAAACCAAAAGCCCTGCTAATTACAAAAGTTGCTTTATGAAAGATAATTCAAAGCAATAATTTAGCAAACATAATCAAGTAGCGCAGATGGGGATTTTGATGAATAGTTTGCAACATGCAATTAGCAGCTCTTGCAGTTACATATCATTAACCCTCAGAGCACAAAAATTATTTTCTCATTATTAGATGAAAAGGTAAAATTAAGCTGACTAGACAGTAAAGGAACAAACTACAATTAATTACCTTCATTTATTACAGTCATTATTTTAAACTTATTTTTTTTCTCCAATAGATAGATGAAAACATCTAAATTAAAAGTTTTGTTATGCTAAATCAGAGGTGAAACTTTCCAATCCATCTGTATACTGGAGCAGCTCTGCTGTGGAAAGGAATGCTTCATCTTCCACTTGGCATGTCTGATTGAGCAGATATTTTATTGCAGATAAAAAGACAATTTAGCAATAATAAAAGCTTTATAATACATCTTGTTAAACACGGGAAGTAAATTCAAGGGTTGAGGATCAAAGGCTTTAAAAAAATGTTACACCCTATTTCTTGGTCCTGGGTGTATGTTGTTTACAGAGAGATCCCACTAGAGCCAGGTGTCCTCCTTATTCTGTATCTGTAAAGTAGCTACTGCATTTTGGGGCCAATATAAATATGTTTTGTTGAAGCAAGTCTCCTTTGGTTGATATGAAATGAACATTTCTAAAAGGCTGTGGAAATGGAGCATCTATGCCTGGAATGTCAAATTCCAAATTCTCCTTTGTGAATCCCAGACAACCCAGTTGAAGTCAGGGGAGTAACTGGGAGCTGAAATTAGCTGTTGGACCCTTGGGGGAAGAAAATTCCTCTCACACAGATGCCACCACACCAGTGAAATGATGCTAGGAATGCCTGACTACTTGCTTCCTTATGGGGAGTTGAAAAGATGGAATGTATCCAGCAGTAAGTTAAAACTTCCCTTGCCTTTGGTGTAGAGTAGAGTACTCTCTGTGGGCATGTCTACACCAGGAAATTATTTCAAAATAACTAAATTCAACTTAATAACTCCTGATTTTACAAAATTGAAATAGCGTGACCCCACTACAGGGAAACCTCGAAATTAGTCCAAGGCAGGTTTTGTTAATGTGGATGTGCTACCTCAACTTAGAGCCCCAGGAAGAACTGGAGAGTATTACTTTGAATTACTCTAGGGACCAGAGTAATAGTGGTACCAGGGCATCCACACTATTGCTATTTCATAATAACTATTTCAAAATTAGTGTTATTCCCCGAGAAAAGCAGGAGTTCAGATTTTGAAATAAGAGGCCCATTATGCCAAAATAACGGGGCTTGGTAATGTGGACACACTACTTATAAATTCAACTTTCAGGGTGTTATTTCGAAATAAAAACTTAGTGTAGACCAGGGCTAAATGTTCAACAGCAAGGGAATTGTGCATCTTTCTAATGTGTCAGATCTGACCACTGGCGTATAATGCCAAAATGCAGGTAAGAGAAGAATGTTTGCAACAGAGCCACTTTTGAGTCTCAGACTTTGTCTATACTTCTAAAGCCACAGCAGCGCTTTAAAGTGAAAGTGTGACTAGGGCAGGAGCACTGGGAGAGAGCTCTCCCAGCATTCTGTGTAAACCTCCTCCATGAGAGAAGTAGCACAGAACATTGTGAGGCCATTTACACTAGCAGTTTACAGCGCTGTAACTTGCTGCACTTGGGTGGGGAAGGTTTCACACCGCTGAACCAGAAAGTAACAGCACAGTAAAGTGGCAGTGTACACTAGCCTCAGTGAACTTTTTGTGGCAAACTCCCAGTGCCATGAATCTGTGTCCAGCAGAGCTGACTCATGCAGAAATGAGAACAGATGGGGAAAAACTTCATTTTTTTTCCTGCAAGAAATGTTCCTTTAAAGAACCAAGTGTAAAGTTTGGAATGTGCCTTAGGATATCAGATGGGTCTATTTAATAGCAGACATGTTTTATGTACATCTTTGGGTGCTGTTTCAGAGTCCCAAGCATAGCAGTAACTGGGGAATGTATGTGCATGCTGTTTAATTTCATTAAGGGAGGAAAGGGCCCAGACTTTGAATTAAATGGATGGAAACATGGCAAGTAATGAACAGATGTCGGAGACGTAAATCCTGTATGGAATGACAAACTGCACACAAGCAAGAGACAGAGCATGTGTGTGCACCTTATAGATCTAATGCCCATGTCTGCACATGTGTTAGTCAGTGGGGGGAGGGAGGGTTACCCTAGTAAGGACAGCAGGATGAGGACAGGTAAAGGTGGTAGGCGTTGAATACTAAGGGGCAAGTTACAACTGGTCTGCACAGGTATCTTGGATGGGGGAGATGGTGCAGGCATGTAGAGGCAGGCATGACTATGGTCCAGCTACCAGCATACTAGCCAAGCAGTGCTGAGTGGCATGCCAGCTTTGCCTTTTCATTGCTGCATCCTGCACCCAGCACTCCAAGCCATGCTGCCTGATAAAGGTATAATCTGCCTCCCCACTGTTCTGTCACCAAGGGTGCTTCACTCTGTCTCCAGGATGGAAACATTTGGTGAGAAATGTAAATGTCTGTTGGCTTTTAGAAACTAGTTTAATATTATCCACTGGACCCAGTCTTCACTGGTAGCATTTCCTGTGGCTTCTGGGAAACTTGGCTTGGAGAGTTTTATGCACTCTCTTGACCTTGCCCAGTGCATTCATTTGCTTTTTGCTGCCATCTGGTTGGACACTCAAGCCAGGGGCCTTATCTTGAGAGTTGCTGAGCACTCAAAACTCCTGGTGGCTTGAGTGGGAGCTGAAGGTGCTTAGCACCAATTGGGGATAATCCTGAGATGTCTCTAATTTCTTTGGCAGCCCATGTTCTATTCTTACAGGCTTATCTCAACCCCAAGTAATGCACCTCCCCCAAAACAAGTTCGGACTGACAGGTTGCTCATTGTCC